AAGCAGAACAGCACCAGGTAGTGTGCTCGGCCTGCCCACACAGGACCCACACCCGCCCGGACACCCCGTGAGCTGATGTAATGTGAGCGGCTGCCTCACCTCCACCACGTTTGGGCACATGGGCTTCTGATCGCTTTTGCTCTGACCAAGGCTTCTAATGAACTTCTCCACCGCTTTTTCTGCCTGAGACATCTGCTGAGGGGTAGCATTCACTGAACATCTGTTAAAAATTATATGCATGTAGAAAAACCATTAATATAACACAAATACTGTTTGGCATTTTGCATAAATAACACAAAAATAAAAACTGTAATTTTGTATAAAATGATGCTCAAAAATGTTAAAAGGCAGTAGCCAAATATGGAAATAAGGCAGCGACAGTACTTCCTGATGGTGCTTTCAAGTTTCAAAGAGGCTTTCTTTCCACATATTCAGTATGTTGCAGCTAATAGCCATCAAGATGCAAAGAAAGCATTTCTGACTCTAAATTAGTTTTCCTCTGAAGGAGCAAGGAGAATTCAGAGTATTAAGATTTGCCAGCAATGGTCTTCAGTCTTACATTATCAGAAGACTGAAAACTTAAGTTATTGTCCAGAAAAGAAAATTTGAAAATGAACTGGTCATTAACGTAAAAAATTTTAAGTTGCCAAAGAATTACCATGATCTCAAAAAATACCTATCTCTTCAAAATTCTACAGAATCACAAGTAATCCTATCACATGAAAATTAACTTGAACTACACACTGCATTGGCAGAGTGCACCTTCTTCCCTTTTGGTCTCACACCCTGATTTGTTTGAGTTAAATCAGCAGTAGTAGCCATTGTATTAATGCTGACTGTATTCCAGCACTGGACAATTAGTTCGCATGTAGGCTTTCATTCCTTGACATGATTCTGCAGGTAGAGGTTTGCAGAGAAGGAAATAGAAGGTCCAAGCAGTTAAGCTGCTCTAGACACAGTGGGTGTAGGAGCTGGTGGGCACCGACCTCAGGGCCCCCTCCTGCCACCCACCCATGGTCTGGGAGAATCTGAACTGACAGGGAGGTGCTGACCTTTACACAGAACCACAAGCTACTCTGAATCCATGTCACTGACAGAGACATGCTGAAAAGGCACCAGTTCATGCTCACAAACATGAGGGCTTAGGCCAAATGTCTGTGTGTGACAATGTCAAATGTTTTCCTCAAACTGTTTTGTAATTATTCTTACAAGAAACTTTTTATTTTCACTTTTGTTTGTGTAAGACAGCCCTTACTGGGTGACAGCCCTTCCCGGGCCTCACTGATGGCTCCTTTATAGAACCTGTGTTTATTTTTGGAAGCCACATAAACATCTGCAGTAATCCTATTGTGCAGTGCCCAGATTAAATAAGCTGCTTTCACCTACCACAACATTTATGAAACTTAAAATACTCTTTTTTCCTATAAGGTATGATTTCTTAATATTAGAACATCTGAAGTCCAAAATCAGCTCTGTAACCTACAGCAAACATCTTTCTCACCTGGAGATAAGGTTACCTAACTATGACTTCAAGTGAAGAACATCTAAAAACTACATTTAATCAAATGGAATGAATCATAAGATCTTCATTTAGACACAAATCATGAGCTCCTACCTCATATTATCACAGTTTAGCAAATGTTTCTTGATGCACGGGAGCTTTCTCAGGACAGGTCTGATGTCTGCCATCTCTGCAACCCTCTTCATCAACCTCACCTAAGCCAAAGGAACCAGCACATAGATGCACCCGGGGCAGAGTGGGGCCCAGACAGCCCTCCAGCTAGAAACCAGACATCTTCATGTGGAACTCCAATCCCATGCTTGTGTGTGGGACACACCTGACCCACTTGGGGATAGGGGTGGAAAGAGGAAGGTGAGTCAAAAAATGTTTTCCCAATGCAATCTGGTCAATTATAGAGTTAGCCTTTCTGAGATACAAACAATTTGCTGTCAACTCAGGAAGACCTGGCCAGCCCAGAATAACAACTGTCCCTCAAGCAGGTCACCTGATCCATCCCACTGAAGGTCTCCTGTAGGTCCCCTGCGGGGGTCAGGGTCCTACTGGCTCTGATGGATGCGTAGAGATGTCCCGAGTCGGGGACTCCGTTGGACAGCTCCTGAGCAGTCATCTTCACTAACACTCTGAAGTGTTCTTCCTCTTCAAGGTGTGGGCTGTGGGCAAGAGACAACCCTGTACCCACTTTGCTATCATGGAAAATAGCAATAAGTTTTCAGACAGCATAAACATCCTCAGAAAGTATGTAAGTCCATAGGAATTACAAGTAAAATTAGGCTTAGAAATTAACAACCCACAAAGGAGTAAACCCCAAAATCTTTAGAATACTTCAGACTCAGGCCTCTAAATCATCCCCAGATTGGCATCTTTACAAATAGTTACTTGTTAAATATTTCACTCCACAGATGCATCATGTCTGGTAAGTTTCTATCAAGGCAAAAAGATGAAAAAAGCACACCCTAAATTAAGAAAAAAGAGATGAATTAATTGTGATGTAATTTAAAAGGAAAAAAAGATGGGGGAAACCCCAGTGCAGTTGTGATGTGGAAGCAGCTACCTGCTCGTAGGTGTCCAGGTGGGTGTGGTCAGGGAGCACATGGGGGGAGGCCGTCATCCCTCCGGTCTTCAGCTCCACCTGCTGGGCTTGCTCCCTGTAGTCCAGAGCACCACAACCCAGCCTGTTGGCCGCAGACAGTTCTTGAGTCACCATGCAGTGCCATCCCACAACCACAGAGCCATGCAGCTCCCTCCCACGTCACAGCACCCCCTGTGCATGAGCGCCCCACCTCTCACGGAAGGTGCCTCTCCGTTGGGAGCTGCCCTTGGGCTGGCCCCCAGGCTGCAGGCAGCTGCTGTACTACACTGAACTGCAAAGCTGAGCAGTGCTAGTCCACATCTTACAGGTGCTCCCTACTCTCTCCTTCACCCAAAACATTCTGAGACTCCCTCTGCTCAAACATGGGAGTCAAACATGTCACAGCACCCTCTGCTCAAAAACTGGTGTCAGAGGAAAGCTGGAGAAAAGCCTCTCAGGGCTTCTCACATAAGCTGAAGTCATCTCAGTGCTGACGAAGCTTTTGGAAGCAGCATTCACACTGATCCTAATGTGGTGAGGAATAGTCTCTGACAAGCGGTGACTGGGACGCTTTCCCTGAAACTGCTGTGCCACAGAGGGCATGCAGCAGAAGTGACAAGGAAAGGGCAGAGAACTGGGAAAAGGTCACAGGTGTTCTTCCTGGGGTCTGACACAGGGCACCTGTCCTCTGGCTCTGGCAACCTGAAGGTGCAGTGTTTGGAGCCCTTCCATTTCCCAGAACATGGCAGAAGAAGCCTCCAGCTCGGCACCTCAGCAGAGAAGAGGGACACGCGCTGGTGTGCATCTGTGTCTCTGGGGACAGTGATGATTACTAATTTCGCTCAGTGGAGGGGGCACACAACTCGGCTTCAAAGGTGAACCCAGGGTCTCTGAGTCAGATTTAACTGCTTCTATTTTACAGTGAGAAACAATCATCTTTCTCAGTGTTCAACTGGGCTATTGAGGTGGATGTATCCAAGTATTACCTTACACTCTAGGTTCATAAATATTCTCATAAACTATATTTTAGTAAGAAAGATGATCCTAAGAAAAATTCTCAAAAATATATTGTACGTTTTACTTATACACTGTACCAACACTACAGGTTTTGAAAAATGACTCCATGACAAGGGATTACCGATGTGATCAAAGAATATCAACACACATGCAGGAGTGCCCACTGATAAAATATACAGCACATGCCACTTTACATCAGCATGCATCCCCGCCCCCAGCCCCATACTTGGTGAGGACGCTGCAGAAGAGCGGCACGTAGGGCTGGAGCTCCTCAGGGAGGGTGTGGAGGCCCGCAAAGGCACGGAAGTACACCACGCCATTGGTGGGCTGGGCACAGTACAGAACCGGCACGTCTCCAGCTACATGGACAAGGGCATTATTGTTTTCAAATTTTTACCAATAAATTCGAATCACATAATCACTCTGGCTATGATTTTTCAAGGTTGGAGGTTTAAAATTATTAGCAAAGAAATACTATTTGTTTGAAATAATTGACCAATTGTCCCACTGTGCTCTCATCATGGGAAAAACTGGAAGCCTTTGACATTACAGTAATTGCTCTGTTCCACAGTTTGGGCTCTGACCGCCTGGCAGGCAAGCTAGGCCCCCTCTCTCCACGGCTCCTGTCTTTGTAGCATGAACTCATTTCACCCACCCCAAAAGCCCCTCACCCACCACCCCAAACCCTGGTGGCCAGGCTCCTGGTGCCCCATAGCCTCTGTGGCCCCAAATTCCTCAGATATATGTCCTGTGTGCTACTTCACTGCTAGTGCCCTGAACTTGGGCAGAGGGCCCAAGGCACCCCTGTCCTAATGCTCTTCATTAGACGTAAACTCCATAGTAGACCTCAACGATGGGGGCTAAAGAGTAGCAGGAAACAAACCCCACCTTCCAGAAGTCTCATCCTGGAGAAAAAAACTGCATGTACATACACATGTGCACATGCTGGAAGCTAGGCATGGCAAACATGCTGAATAAGCCCTGTTGGAGCAGAAGGTGGGCAAGAGGCACTGAGAGCCGTCAAAGGGAAGCTCGGCTCCAGGCTGAAATCCTGCTGGTGCTAAGCACTGTCAGCACCCCTGGGACAGGCTGGTGCTGCCACACCCACCCACATGGAAGAAGGTCAACACTGACAGGCACTGTCACACCAGAGGGAGACGGTGACCTGGGGAGAAGTGCTGGCAGCCTGCAGCTCTTGTCCTAAGTGCCCTACAGCACCGGGTTCTGCGAGACCGACACTTCAATAGCCAAAAGCCAGGAGCTGGATAATCAGCATGGGCCAGAACCTGCCTCCCATGAAAGCTGTGCTTTCCCCAGCCCAGCAATCTGGCCCAACACCTGACATGCCTGCCAGAAGGAAAGCAAGCGGAGGCTCCTCCAAGACAGAGACAGACAGAGGTCCAAGGTCTGGATGGGGGAGGCCAACGACAGGCAGGAAGAGCTGGATGGGGCTGGTGTTCAGGTGGTGCCTGAGAACTGTACGTGGCCCTGCTTCTCCGGCCACTGAAGTGACCCCTCAACCCCCGACCAGCCAGGATCCCCAGAGACAGCTTACACTGACCTGTCAGGGCCACTGCCAATTCTGTGACCGGGAGGGTGGGCTCGATATCTGACACCTTCAGTGTGGGCAGACAAGAGGCATCCTGAGATTTGCTTTGCTGAGTCAGTAATTCCAAACCTACAAGGACATTTAGGATGGTGACTGGCAGGTCCCATGTAACAGTGCCAGCTGCCCTGGGTCCTGAGACAAACAGCCTCCTTGGCACTGCGCTGCCCTAGCCCTTTCTTCATGATTTAAAAGAATCATTTTGCAGGGGATGGAACTTTGCTCAAGCCGATTCCCCTGCCAAACTGTATACTAGACAGGCTGAACTTCAGAGGTTTCAAACCATTTCTCATTGGACTGAAATTTGTAACTTTTGTACTTGTTTATTCTCATTTCATTTTCATTAATCTCGGCAAAATGCTTGTGTGATCACATAAATGTCATGGGTATGAAAATGCATTTTCTGGGCCTTCTCTTCCTTGACCTGATGAGCCAGGAGGCTCAGAAGAACTGAATGCACATGTGTGTGAAGATACCATGCTTTAAAAGTTCCATCAACAAATACACAAGGGTGCCATTTCACCATGAGCACATCTGATGAGCTGGCCTGGCTTCTGTGTCTGACTCTCTGAAGTCCGTCTCCTGACCCTGAGAGCCAGCAGCCATCCAGCTGACCCTCAGAGGCAGACCCCAGCTTGCTCCCCTGCACCAAGGCACAGGCTCCCACGGCATCACCATCACACATCTGGATTTTTGAGCACCCCCTTACCTGGTCATTACCTGACCCCAGACCCTCAGATGTGTTCTTATCCTGAAAAAGCCACCTCTTGCTCTTTGCCTGTCTGGCCTAGCAATATCTCAAATGCCCACCCCTTTGTCCTCCAGGATGCACCACCACCACCCTGCTGCCCCTCAGGATGAGCTCACCACTACAGTGCACAAACCTCTAGCATTTCTTGTCCTTCCACGATTGTTCCTCCTGTGGCAGCAGCTACAGTCCTTCACACTTATTATGTCACACAGACACCCAATTGGGAGATTCAAGTTTTTAAAAACTTAGACAATTTCTTCTTTCCACCTTCTCACTGCTGTTTACCTACAGATTGGACTTAACTTACACAAAAGCCCACACTCACATCCAGCCAGATAGCCACTAAGTGTACTGGCAGTGTGTCTCACCTGACGTGACTCCACAGTAGTCTGTCAATGAAACCCACTTCCGTAACAGGGGCCTCCATGCAGCCACATGCAGGCAGGGGCTGCAGCACACTGGTTTTCTTAGAACAGAGCACACGTCCACGGCCAGTCCAGGACTCTAATAACTCACAGAATGTGTACTCTGTTACTTAGGCATGGAATGAGCTTCCATTCTTCAAAGAGTTTTAACTCAAAACTTGAGATGGTGGGACTACATAAAACTGAAGAGCTTCTGCACTACAAAGCAAACCAACAAAACGAAGAGGCAACAACCTACAGAATAGAAGAAAATCCTTGCAAATCATGTATCCAGTAAGAGGCTAACAGCAAACTATATAGAACTCATGCAACTGAATAGCAAGAAACAATCTGATTACCACATGGGCAAAAGACCTGAATAGACACTTTCCCAAAACAGACATACAATAGCCAGCAGGCACATGAGAAGATGCTCCACATCACTAATCATCAGGGAAATGCAGATCAAAACCACAATGAGCTGTCACCTCACACCAGTCAGAAAGGCCACTATCCAAAAGACTAGAAATAACAAGTGTTGGCAAGAATGTGGGGAAAGGGAACCTTTGTGCACTGTTGATGGGAATGTAAACATAGTGCAGCCACTAAGGAAACTTAATAGAACTTCCTCTAAAAATTAAAATAGCATATGATTCCACTTCTGGGCATTTACCTGAAGAAAACAAAATCACTAGCACCCCTATGTTCAATGCAGCATTACTTACAATAACCAAGATATGGAAGCAACAAGCATCTCTTGATGGATGAATGGATAAAAGATGATGTAATGCATGTACACACACCCACACACAGAGGAATATTACTCAGCCGTAAAAAAGAAAGAAATTGGGCCATTCACAACAACACAGATGGACCTCCAGGGCATTATACTAAGTGAAATAAGAGAAATGCAAATACCGTATGATCTCATTTATATGTTGAAATTGAAAAACAAAAACAAAAACCCAAGCTCACAGACATGGACAACAGTTTGGTAGATGCCAGGCGCAGAGGTAGGAAAACTGAGTGAAGGAGGTCAAAAGGCACAAACTTGAGTTATAAATTAAGTAAGCCCTGGGGCTGTGATAAACAGCATGGTTACTATAGTTAATGCTCTTGTGAATTTGAAATTTGCTAAGAGATCTTACACATATTCACCACAAGAAAAAAAATATCACTGTGTGGTGACAGATATAGACTAATCTAGAACTAGACTACTGTTGTGGTCATCTCACCACATATGCAAATAGTGATTCATTCTGTTGCACACCTGACAGCCATGTCGTAAGTCATTTATATCCAAATTAAAAAAATGTAGGCAGAACTTGTCAATTGGCCCTCACAAAACCAAAGTTTGTGGTTACTATATTAATCACAATGAGCACATTAAATTTATGGGAGAGCTTAAAATAGCCCTGAGTCTAAACAAGAATTCAGATAAGGAGTAACAGATAACATGATGGTGTGACTTTATTGCCTTGACTAGATTAAGTCACCTCAAGCTTAGTCCGGCCAGAATGTAATCACTTACTTTGCACCTAAAGTCAAACTCATCTCCTGACAAACCTGGTAATTCTTCACAGGATCCCAGTCAACTGGATAAATATCCATGTGCTGTACATATACTTTAAAAGACTTTATTAACATATAGTTTCTTACGATAAAGTTCACAACTTGAAAGATAAAATTCTATATGCTCCAACAAATGCATCAGGTGCTATAACCACTGTGTCATGGTGCAGAACCTTCCATCACCCAACAGGTGCCTCCTGGCTCCCTCACACCTGGCCTCCCCTGCCTTCTGTCACAGAGGCTTGCCACTTCCAGGCTTTCATATAAGTGACCCCTGAGCTGGCATTCTTTTGCGTGGCTGACCTCTGCATGGTGCTTCTGCAATTTGTCGGTACCCAGTGTACCAGTCATGTTTCTCTCCAGAGCTGTGCAGCATTTCACTGTGTGGATATACCATGTTGATGGCCATGGGCACTCTCAGCTTTTGTGTGGATGTATGCTTTCATTTCTTTGGGCAAATACTCAGGAGCAGGACACTGGGTTTCATAGTCAATGTGTGTTTAAGCACTCCAAGAAACTATAAACCATTTGTTCTATCTCCACCCATGCCTGCTCCACAGGGAAGGGACCTGAGTGGTGCTCCCTGCCTTCATCCCTCACCAAGACCAGACACTTCTGAACTCACATCTTACACTGTCTACACTGCTCATCTGGCAATTATATATTGCAACACAACATACATTTATTTTAGTGGTATATTATAGCCCTTGGTCCATAAAAAGTATTTATAAAATTTGTAAAATGAATACACCTTGTAAAGCTACAGTAGCCACCCCTTTCCCATGGAGGATATGTTCCAAGACCCCCAATGGGTTCTTGAAACCATAGGTAATACCAAACCCTATATATGTTTTCCTATATACTTTGATAAAGTTTAACTTATAAATTGGGCACATCAAGGGATTAATGACAATAACATAAACTAGAACAATTATAACAATATATTGTAATAAAAGCGATGTGAACATGGTGTGTGATGCAGTATTAGGCTGCCAGAGATCTGGTGACACCGAGGAGGAGGAGCACCTGCTTCTGAACCTCTGCACACGGGGATAACTGAACCCCATGGAGGAGGGGACTACTGCACCTCTTTACAAGTATGCCTGCCTTTCCTTATGCTCAGGATGAAGTCCTGAGAACAGGGTCAATCCTATAGGGTTAAACCCAACGCATCCAACACAGAACTTCATAGGTGCCCCATAACCATCGGCTGGTTGAACTAATACTTGCCTCCAACTACCTGCTCACTGAGCAGTTCCCTGGGGTGGGGTCGGGGTGGGATCCAAATACAAACACCTGACCTTTTTCATAGATCTGCTTCTTGTCCTTTGGGGAAAGACAGCTGACCTTCTGCTTCAGTTTTTCTGTTTCCATTTGTGCTTGTTTTTCAGAATACTTGTCATCTGGCTTCATTGATAAAGTCAATTTATGCTGATTCTTCTGCAACACAGCAACAAAAGGGCCAAGTTGAAACTGGTTTATTAAAGCCCAACATGCTGACCCAGCCTCCCTTCGCCAGTGGCTCTTGGCCCTATAGTCCTTTTCTCATTTTAAATGATGACAATAGAACACACCTCAAAGGACTATCTTGCAGAATGTGTACGAGCCCTATAAAATTCTCACAACCATGCCTGCTCTGAAATTCATTTAGGCTGTTGCTGTTACGTTTAGGATGATTATTATTGTGGCTCCTATATGTTAACCGTAAATGTATCAACATTCAAATCTTTACACAAGGAAACTGTTGCATGTTTTAGTATTATAATCTTTGACTTTAGTCTAAATAGAAGATAACAAAGAATAAAATAATTTAATTTTTATCTCATCTTCATTATACCATTAACTTCACAAAGGCTGGTACGAAACTCTCCGTTTAGTATTTTGTAAATTATGAGGACAAAATAGGTGTTGACCTAATGGAAAAGTGTTAGGTGATTTAATGTGCTTCCCTTATTTCAACACCACACACCCACAGCCCTTCGCCCCCCACCCTTACTTGTACAGAGGTGGGAGAGGTCAGGCACAACTGAAACTTTATGCAAAGTGACCTACAGTGGCAGAGATGCAGGTCAAGAGGCCAAACCACCTTCCGCAACCAAAAATGGTGCTCACACACCAGAGTCACCCTGCATTATAGACCAGTCTGACCCCGTGGTAAGGCCTTAACAGGCTCTACCACATTCATGACCATCCACCAGGGAAACCACACCACACACCAATGACTGGATATGAATGCAAACAAATGAGAGGGCATCAAAAGAATCCTTCATAAAAGTAACCACAACATGCATATATTTACTATTTTTGTATTATATAATATTTCTACTAATAAAAATATATACAGATTTTATTAATGCATATATGTATATATATTCATATAGAAAATATAAAAGTACATATGCATATAAAAAACTCAACTTGCATCAGAATCTGGAAAATAGAATTTGTTAACATTTGCATATAAGTTGTCATTGAAAATTAAGAAATTATGTCACCTATTGATTAACTGAAATTGACTTACATAATATAAATTACGTTCCTAATATTCCTTTCATTTTTATAAAAATCAGTTCAAAATTAAGGACATAAATTCTTTAATTTGCTTACCTTAAAATACTGCTTTACTTTTTCTTGCAAAAACTTTGGGTTTTCCTTGAGGCATTGCCTGAATTGAGCCACCTGATTTCCCAGCTTCAGGAGTTCCACAGGGTCTCCATCATGATTCCAGCAGGAAGCTATGTACTGGAACAGAGAATTTAATCCACAATGCACATTACACTACAAACTCCACATCAGCTCAGTAAATATCAAAGTATGACATTTTAAGATCTCAGTTTCTATATTTAGAAATACCTAATGGCTGTTAATAACAAAAATTAAGTCGTTCTTTGCTTAGAAGAAACACTAATGTCATTTTAAATCTGTTTTTTCTAATTAAAAAAAGCACAGGTTTAAAAATTATATTTGGAAAATATAATCCCCAACAGATCAAAGTTATCATAAATACTTAACAATTTAAAGTACTGAGTAAATCTTTTATATAAATGTACATAAGCTTATCAAAAAGCCTAACTAGCTAATAAAAAGACAATATATTATAAAACTAAATTGAAAGCGAAATTCTCTCAGATCCAAAACAGTGTAATTTCCAAGGTTTAAACGAAAGGTACTCTGTGTATTCAGACTCTATTTTCAGGGCTGTCAAGAATGATAACAGAAGTCAAAAACAAAAACCTAAAAAACAAAACAAACAAAAGCAAAGCACCACCAGAAAAGTGTTGGTTGGAGAATTACGCACAGACATCAGGGTGAGTCCAAAGCTGACAGACTGATGCTTCATCTGTAGTTCAATTTTATGAAGTAAAGCCTCGATCCGATCATCTTCAAACCCTTTCCTAAAGCAGTATTAAGAAGTGAGATGTTGAAAAGATGTTTTTGCAACAAGGTAGCAGAGACAGTATTTCAGTAAGGAAAAGTGAACCAGTGCAAGTCTGTGAGAAAAGAACCCAACAATGGAGGTGGCCAGCTCCCCGCCCGGTGAAGGGTTCAGGAACCAAGCACCGCAAATGCCACACGCACTGGATCACGGCATCGACTGTCCTGTCGATTATGTCGCATACAGTCTGAATGTCTTCCTCCACAATCCCTTGCAGGCCAACGCTGAAGAAGGCCTCCCTCGTATAGCCATTATATCTAGAATGCAAATATAAATAACACATCAGAATCCAGACAACCTTTGTCATTCCCTTATAAGGCTTTAAAGATAAAATACTGGAGAGAATAGAGCTAAGAACTTTGAACTCCCAAAGTCTCCATGAATAAGCCAATTTAAGCTATGTCCTCAGATATAAATGGTCATATTTTCATTCATGTCCTTTTAACATTTGTAAAAATCAATTCAATTTCAACTTTAGAGTTACGGCAAAATTAAATCTGAAAGAGAACTGCTGAGATACACAACTTTATTATTTCAAAAAAATTTAATGACCTTTTAAAATAGATAATAGTATGCTGTTCTGAGATCTTGGAAGAGCATCTTTTTTTTCTTTTATGTGGGCCAAATGTCACCTGCAGGCAACCGAAATAGCTTGTCCTGGAACTACGATCTAATGTGGTTCTGGGCTTGGGGCAAAAGGGGCCATCCAGTGACTGTGGGGTGTTGAGCATCCTATGTCCCTGATGCCACCCACCAGAGGACTGTAATCCCTCCCCAATTGTGACAACCAAAAATGCATCCAGATGTTGTCAAATGTCACAACTGTCCCCAATTGTAAAGTATAGATCTGATAACAAAACCTACCCAACATCGGGAGAAAAGTCTGTGCCGAGTCCTGATTCAATTAAAGCTTTGTAGAAGGGGGAGTTGGGCCCGCCGATCAAGAGTGAAGACAGAAGGTTTAACGTGAAGGCTTCAAATATATCTGTGATGCTTCATTTAAAGGGGGTAGAGAAAGAGGAAGAACTGGGGGCATCCATGATGATAAAAATGATTACTAAACTGACATTTATTTCCAAAGAACCTAAAGTTCTACTAGAAATCTTTCATTTCAATTTAAGTTATATGGACAAGAGTGTACCTATTTCTTTGGTTTGCAAAGCTCTTACATGCTGGGGTTTCACTGGGCCCCAAGCCAGCCAGAATGCTGACACACTGCTCACCAAGTGCTATTAGGTGACAGTGTGCTGAGCACTCCGATCTGTTATAGCAACCAGAATGGCAGTACCACACCTAGACTGACAGTGAGGATGGGGCCACCAAGGGCAGGCCATGCCATGGAGTGCCAGAACTCCCCACTGCCCACCTGTGCCCTTTGCACTAGATCTCTGAAATTACAGAGTTCTGCATGTCAGACGTTTTTCTGAGGCCAGTGTCCAGTGCTGTCCTCACATTCAAAGGCATTAGTGACCTCCCACACCCCCCAGCACCAAATCTTAACAACTGCTGTTCTGAACCAGCCTTTTCTCTGCAGGAAAAAAACCTTAAAGAGCAGGCATGAAATAAGCTCCTTTGCTTCTGGATGACTGCCAAAAGCAATCTCCCAAACCTACCCCTAGGGTTGTTAACACATCCCCCCACAGCTAGCACCTGTTGCACTCCTGAATCCTCACCACCCATCCACTTCTACCCGCAGAAGGATTCACCTCTGATGCCACTAGCCTTCTACAAGGGCTACTTACTCTGGTAAGAGGAAGCTGACTCCAACAGTGACTTGTTTGGGAGAACCCGAGGCCAATGAATCCGGGCCACACGTTATCTGGAATTCCCTCTGTGAAACAATGCAATGCTTTCAAGTAGGCTTGGAATGTGAATGAATGAGACTAAATTAGTATAGGCAGTCTGAATGTAAAAAATGGTTTAAGAGGTGCTTTTCACTAAACTAACTTTCTTTTCAAACAACCATTATTTAGGCTTGGGAAGCTCTTACACACACATCAGCAGAACTTTCAACATTTTAAAGTCCTATTATTAGAACACAATTCAACTCTTCACCTCCATGTATTTAACAGGTGTGATAAGAACACTGTTCATCTGGACTCCGGATGGCCACTTACTGGCTTATCCCAAGGCTTCTGAGATGGCACTGTGGTACTTGGCTCAATTTTCTGAAATTTACTCAATGCTTCTTCGTGAATCTGTTTCAGATGCTGTTCTAACGGAAAATTACCATAAGTGAAGAACCTGAAATTTGAGAGGATTTTATTAGTCTAAAAGATTAGAAATCACATGGAAAGAACAGAGGGTATGCACATATAGCAACTGATAACTATTTCTGTACTGAAATTTTTTCCCCAGTCTATCTACAAACATGAAGCAAACACTTTGCTCTTCTAATAGATGGTTCAAACACAATACAAATCATGGATTAATTAAATGTAAATTGACAAAATTGATTTTATTTCAAATTTACTATAAAAGTGTTATAAAAACCAAGTTAGTTATGTTAAAATACTTGATCTTATCTATAACAATACAATAATTGATCTAAAACTGACAAACTAAAGAATTTCACAGAGTTCAATCTTAGGCTATGAATTTCAGAGTTCATATTCTAGAGACAACACATTTATTCATTCAGTGGTAAAAGGGGTTACAATGACCAAGTTGATTGTTTTCTTTAATGGGATGCTGTCTAAGCTTCAGTTAGACTCATAGAATCAGAGAGCAGACTGGCAGTTGCCACGTAGGTATGAGGTGGGGGAAATGGGTGAAGGTGGTCAAAGGTACAAACCAGTTAAGTCTGGGGATCTCCTATACATCATGGTGACTATAATTATCAATACTGTATTGTGTATTTGACATTTGCTAAGAGAACAGATCTCAAAAGTTCTTGTCACAAGAAAAAAAATTAACTATGTGGTAACGGATGTTAACTAGACTTATTGTAGTAACCATATCAAAATATATGCATATTTCAAACCACTATGTTGTATATCTAATGTAATACAATGTTATATGTCATTTATATCCCAATAGAACAGATTTGGGGAACTAGAATCTTAAAGATCCTTTAAAATTTTCCACTCAAAGGTTTAGAGAGTGATAATCCAATAGCAATGAGCACCCCTTGCCTCCACCCAGACACTGTCTCTGAATGCCTGTCTCCACTGACACAGGATTCCTGGAGAAGTGGCTAGTTACAGAGCTAGCCCAGGGTGAGCTAGCCCACGGAGCGAAGGGCAGAAATCAATGAGGTTACTGAAGACTACAGAAACTGTCAGACAGACAAGGTGAGCTTAAAGAACTCTCTAGAGCCATAATCAGGACAATTTGGGCATAAAAATAATTAAACAAATGAATGCCATTTGATCGCCCGACCTGAAATATATACATATACAAAAACCTTTATGTGACATTATGACAGTATTAAAAAATAAATCAAACCAAACAAGGCTTTTAAAAAAAGCTTTTCTGTCATTATTGGAGGAGCAACTGCCACCATCTCCCTGTAAAATTGGACAGCCAGAAAAAGCAGCACCCGTGCCCCATCAGAGCCACACTGCAGGGCAGTCCAACTGCCTACGGGGAATGCTCTGCTTACAGAAAGCTAATCAATAACGTAAACAAAACCACAAAATTCTTCAGAGAACTTTGTAATCTCCACTAAGGGAACTGCTCCAGGGAACAATCAATGAACATGTGAGCTAGGCTGAGGAAGAACTTAATATTCACAAGGTGCCACCGGTTGCCTGGGTCTATAGGAAGTAAAACAGAGCTATACAATGTATGTGGGCCTCATCTGGAGCAAACAAACATTTTGGGGACTGCTTGAAAATCTGAATTTGGAGTAAGCAGATGATTTTTAAGCAAGTGTTTTTTATTTTGTTAAATGTGAAAATGTATTATGTAAGAAAATATCCTTATCTTTAAGGGTTACAAATTCAAGCATTAGGGATAAACCACAATAATTCTATACTTTCCTTTAAAATATGCTGTCAAAGGATATATCTATGTGGCAAGTGTATTGTGTCCATTACTGTATTCTCTATACTTTTCTGTATGCACAAAAATTCTCACGACTAAGATTTAAAATTTTTACAAGATTTTTAAAATAATCTTACAACTATGATTTTACATCAGCATTTATTTGTAAACAAGAGTACTACTGTTTTATTCTTAGCAATATCTGAAATGATCAATTTATCAAGAAACCAAGTATCAAGGGTTTAGTAACCGTGCCCGCCACTTCTGGAGCAATGCTATAACCCAGAGGCTCAAAGCCTGGCGGGTGCCCATCAGCCAGCCCTTTGGGGAGGGGATGTCCCAAAACCCCTGACGCCACAGTCTCAGAAAGGCAGGGGCAGGGGCAGCAGCAGCTGTGGGCCCAGGCTGCCCCCACAAGGCAGTAGAGTCCTCTTCATTTAGAAGGCACATCTTTGCAAATGAGAGAGACCACCCATTCAGTGATGAATCTTGTGTAAATTTACATATTTGCTAAGCAAACATTTCTTTGCCCAATGTGAGAAGCCACAAGTGTTAGCTTAAGACAGTGCAAATGAGCCACTTCTTGCTGACCCTGGCAGTTACCGTCTAAAAGGGGCCTTACCGGGCATTGCTGGGGTGGTAGTGTATGGTATGGAACTGTTTCAGCTGCTCCCATGTGAGGTCGGGGATGCACAGTGGATCGCCACCAGAGACCACAGAGTACGTGTGCTCAGGAAACAGTTGGTTCTGGAGATGCTGTGAGAATATTCTCTCATTATCTGCCTTCAAATTTGAAAAATATATTTGTAGGTATAACACACACGTTATTTCATTACAATACAGCAAACTTATCCTATCTGGGAGCATATGCTTTTAATGCAGCACAGCTACTGTCTAAAGTAGTCGATTCACTCTCAACTCTGCTGGGGACCCAGAGACCAGCCCACTGGGAGGAGGAGGAGGGAAACCCCCTCTGCAGGGAGCACTGGGTGACCCACACTTGCACAGTGAAGGTGCAGGAAAGGCAGGGCTCCAGGAAGGGTTGCCAGGGTCCCTCTGCCCATGAGCTGGGTAGGAGGCGGGGTCCCATGAGTTTCCAGAGGGAAAGTCATCACCCTAACTTGATTTTCCAGGAAGTGCTGGATAAAATGAAGCCCAAAGCCAGTGGTAAAAGAGAAAGAAAGAGCCACCAGCTGCAGGAGGTCGCAGGCAGCACAGCCGAACAGCATCGCTCATCTGGGAAGGACCACTGTGGACTGGCTGGGAGACAGGGGCCCAGGACCACTCTTCTGAAGCTGCCTGATCTCAAGCTCCTTCACACACCCCAGAATTAGTGAGGTTCCCCAAAGAACTTTTGTTTATGTAGGTTTCCCAACTATGTAGTCAGGTGTGTCTATGTAATTTTTCTATATTAGAAATTAAAGCTGAGACATTTAAAAAGTTACTTATTCACTCGTTCATTTATCATCACACGTTAACATACACTTATTTTTTGAAAAATACTTTTCATAACAGAACATACTGAGAAGAGCAGCACTGTTTTGCATATTTTCCAATCCTTCTAAGTCTGGCTTAAAAGAAGACACCAGCACACTAATTCTGCTCCTGCACCCCATCAACTGAGGTGTCACACAGCGTGAGATGCAGTCTCCAGGACCCACGACTGTGCGCTTGGGCAAGAAAACATGAGAAAGGCAGCAACTCAGCACTGCTATGTTCACCTCACAGATCATATACCAGGGTCCCAGACCAGTTTGAGAACTGCTAGTCTACAAGACCGGGTTTTACAATGATAAGAGCCTGCCCTCCTATGGTCCTGTGGTTTCTGCTCACAGCATTGTCCCCCAGCTAATTCCAGGAGTTCCATGCGGTGAGTATATTAAGGACAACAGAATGTCCACTATCTTCCAACCTATTTATAGTCCAATATTTTACACATTAAGGTAATCTTATCACAATACAGAAAAGGAAAAACTCACAAATACTCCTTTCATCTCATTAAAGACAACTCCTTTAAAGATCAAGGGTGTCTGGGGGTCACTCGGAGTCTCATGTTCCAGTCGCCATCCTTCCTGCCTAGATAATGATAAATAATTACATCATGACAGTGACTCTAACGCTGAAGTCTGAATCCATTAATTCATCATGCATACCAGAAATCTAGTTCCCGCAGGCATGGAAAAAAGGCTGCATCCAAATACACGGACAGGAGATTCTGGAAGTCCTTGGGATTTTGTGTGGAAAACGGGTACAGAGTATAATCACTAGCTGGACACAAACAAAAGGAAGATTATAAAACACAACAGATTCCAACAAGAATGTTCTACCTCAAGGCCCGCCTTCCCCCAGCTGCCAAAGGCACAGAGGCAGCCCCCACCCCATCCCTGCCACCGGCACCCACTGGATGTGCTCCTTCTTAATGGCTTTGCCCACACCATCAGCCTATTCATGGCCTTACTTCCCAAAAATAAACCCAAACACCATGACTGGCATTAACATAATGCTACAGAGGTGCATTTTATAGCAATATCCCCAAAACTGTTTTGACCTTTCCAGAAAAACTTTTTCCTAAAACTCTAGTTTTTATAATCTGACCATGACATGGCTTTCCTTAAGGATTAGGTCTTTAACTTTGCTCGGCCACACTTGAGAATGGCAAACCCATTCTAATTTACAGGGTGCCAACTACCTCCTCTACCTTAGAAACTGAGTCCCCGTGGGCAGGTGGTGCAGACCCCCCCAGCAGGCCGTCAGGGTGCCATCTCACCTGTGAAGGCATTCATAAACGTTGACAGCGACCTGTTTAACATTTTGAAGAAAGGATCCCTACATGGGTATTTCTGAGAGCCGCACAGGACCGTGTGCTCCAGGATGTGTGGGACACCAGTGCTGTCCCTAGGAGTGGTGCGAAACTGCATACTGCAGGAGACATGGGAAAGGTCAGGCTCGCCTCTGTCCAGGAGTTCCCGACCAGGCCATCACCTCAGCTACTGGAAAGTGTGTTAGCATCCCAACCTTTCACAAAAATGGCCTCTGCCTCTAATGTATAAAATCACTCAGACTGTGAAATTTTACTGTGTGTAGCCAAGGACATAAATTCACAGAATCTTTTCCTTCTATTTCTTGGATGCTATCAATGAAAGTATCAGTGAGCTATCATTCTAAACAGCTTAACATATGGCAGACGACCTAAGTAGAAACAGTCAAGGTGTTCTAATGATGCACCACACACCTGAACAGGTTATTTGTGTCTTCTCTGGCCAGGTGTAAGTATTTTGCTCCTGTGCCGTCATGGCTAAGCTTCACTGCAGTTAGGGACAGTTCCGGGACAGATGTTACCTTAATAAGCAGGGAAAACATGAGCAGCTAAATGTAGATGAAAAGGCATTCAGAACGACCACTGAACTACTCCATGGTACCTGGCTTGTCTGCCTTAACAGAAACCCTGGGAAACCCTGGCCCCATTAGTGCTGGAGGCATGGCAGAAACCACCCTGCCCAAACCCCAAATCATACAGCTGATGACGGTGCATTTCTTTTCTTTTAAAGGTTTACTATCTCCTAGACATTTCCTAAACAGTTCCTGAGGGAGTTATCCTCACCCCCATTTAGAGATGAAAAAATTGACAAAGCAATAGGTGGTATGTGATCTCAAAGTGGGATCCAGCCCCACCTATCAGTGCAGGCTGCCCCAGAGAGGTATCCGAGCACCTGGATGGCCTGCTGGTTCTTCCTTCTATACCCATCATTTCCGGGTGCACCCCGAAGGCCCTGCCGGGGGTAAATACTGGAACAGATCTTAGCTTGGGACACTGACAGGTCCCTGGCTGTAAACTGTGCATCATCCTGTTTATGGAGAGTTCTGGGGAGTCCCAGTGGTGAGTGGGCTATCACCAGCTCCTTGCTCCATGTGGGAGGGTCACCCTCAATGAAGAACCCTCCTCATGTCGAGGGTGGTCATCTCCCCACCGAGCAAGTCATTCACCTAAGTCTGCACCTTGGGACCAAAGACACAGCATACATCAAACAGAGCAGGATCCTCTCTCCTTCAGTGGCAACAACAGTCCATTGCAGAAACCATACCGCTTCCAGAGGCTGGGAAAATGGCATATCTATGCTTACCAACTGGCTCCTGGCAGGGCAGAGACTAGTACGCAGGTGTCCTGAGCCTGTCCATGGGCCTTGCAAACACAAAGACTGTGCTCACAGCAGCCTGCAAGGGCTTGCATAACTGCAGCTACCAAATGAGTGATACCTCAGGGCTCACTGTGACTTGTCTAAGAGATGGTCAACATTTAAGATCAGTAGATACATGAACTGTCAGCCTCCTTACAGCTTTCATGGCAAATGTTTCTCAAACAAGGACGATAGCTTACCATTAAGTTTCTACAAAACTTGAAAAATACAAGAAAAGAACTTTGAATATGGTCCTCATTACCTGTAACTTATAAATCCCAACTTCTCTGCATGAATTTGACAGACTGTACAAATATTGTCACCCACTGTCTTGAGCCCCTTGCTCAGACAAATGGAGTTGACTTACGGCTGAGGACCCTGCCTTGAACTGCCATCAACAGCCTTGCTCACGGCCAGCCCACAGCCAGGATGCTTTCCTAGCTCCACGGGCCACCCCTGCTCTGCCACCCAGCAGAGCGCCTGCTCCTCCCACCTTCCTCTTCCTCTGGGCACTGCCACTGCTACCGTCGACATGTTCACCCTGGGGTTACAGCTGCCCGTGTCCTGCTGACTGTGAGCTGCCTGCTTTTGTATTTGTTAGCATGAAACCCACGGCCAGTTGGTTATGTGAAGTACATATTTTTCAAATGCACTGAAGAAAAAACAATGTGAAAGTTTAAGCAAAACGAAGCCAGAGCCAAATGAAATCGATTTTAACAGAAACTTAAGAAAATATAGGACCACAATCTCTCCTCTATAATTCTGAAAGTGAGATGGCCTAAAAATAAGTTTTTTGCATAGTTTAGAAGAAACACTTGATGGTAAAACTTGACCTGAATAGATGTGGGGCCCCCCTTTCATTTTAAGTCTAAGAAATTAGCAAGTCTAGTGTCACACTCGGGGTGAACAGTCAAGTGCCTAGATGCAGGAACATTAATGAGTGTGGCTTACTTTCTAAAATCTGAAAAGACATTCAGTGGCTTCAGGGAAGGATTGGGAATCTACTTATATAATAATCAGGAAATTGCTTCATTTGCAAACTCTGCTCAGTTGAAGGCCAACTGTGGAAAAGGACTGAGTTGGCCTGGGGACAGAGAAGACAACTCCTCCATCTTTGCAGCAGGACCTCCCACGCTCTGTTACAAGTGCCACACACAGCACAGCCAGAAGGGCCCATGCTCACCTGGCTGATGGTGAAGCCATGGATCTTCTGCCCAAACTCATGCTGCAGCGCCCTGTCAGCGGCTGTGGTGCTCTTCCACCTCCAGGCTTTCGCCTTAGTGCTGCTACATCTAAGGAGAGTAACCAAACTCAGAGGACTTGGCAGGAATGGGCTAACATACTCCACCAACAGGAGGGAAACACTGCCATGTGACACAGATTATTAAAGAGAACTTAACCTTGCATCTTCCAGACAGATTCCAGAAAACTAATTTCTGGAATTTTTAGTAAAGCTTTCAATTTTAATGATATTTTATCTCAACTCAGCTAAAGATTCATAACATCAACTGATAACTAAATGCTGAAAACTTTTTATATATGTTCATAAATAACTGTAATACAATTATGCCCCAATTTCCCTTAACTGGACAAAAAGCAACTCTCATGTCAAAACGGCTTCTTCCATCAGAGTGCCACAAGAAACACAAACCATGATAAAGTCCCATTACATACCTGCTGAGCTGGCCCAAATTTACGAGTCTGTTATTCCCAGGAACTCACACACTGCTGCTCAGTGTGCAATGACGTGGATTGGCATTATTTGCATTAGTAATTCATTCACCTGTCGGACTTGTCCTCATCCATGAGCACACACATGCACCAGTCTTCGCAGTATTCCTAAGAGCCACAAATTCCTCCAACCCCCCATGTCCATTAACAGAGGATGTACAAACCATGGACTAATCAATAAAATAAGCTTAGCCATAAGAATGGACTGTAGCCATGGCTAACAAAGATGTGGGTCATATAATGCTGAACCAAAAAGGGCACGGTATTATTCTGAAGCGGTATTATTAGGACAGGTAACATGTTATTGTGGGAAAATACCTAGATGGTAAAAATACAAAGAAAAGCAAGGAAATAATTTCTGTGAACCAGGAAAGAGATTACATCTAAGAGGGAGAGTTTTGACCAATTTGAGGTAATCTTAAATTGGGAATGGTGAAAACTTGTTTTTAAACCATTTTTCTTTCAACCATATTGTTTCATGCAATATTCTACAGTAAGATTCTATCTCACAGGGGATTAGGGGCGATATAATTAGCACACACAATATAGGTAGATCACGGGGAAGGTAGTACAGGATGGAGAAGACAAGTAATGACCCTATAGCATCTTACTACACTGATGAACAGGGATTGCAATGGGGTTGGGGGGATTTGATAATATGGGTGAATGTTGAAACCACAGTGTTGCTCATGTGAAACCTTCTTAAGATCGTGTATCAATAATTTAAAAAAATGAATCTCACAAAAATATCTTTTAAAAAAGATATACACAAACAAAAACACTGACTTATAATCAATACCAAGCAATCTTATGGAGATATGTTATATTCAACCAACATCTTCCTTATTGATTGCTCAAATTCTATAATTAAGGGATGGAGACATTCAAGTTACTTGTCATCAAGAACACTATTACAACAACAAAATGCTTACACTGAAAGCATACGAGAGGACCAGGCCACAGGACCAATACCAGACTCCATGTGTGAATAACATTCCTACTGCCACACACAGACTCCAAGGGCACTCCAACAACTGGGCCAACAGAGCTGAACTTCACTCAGAGCAGACAAGGTTCTGTGAATTTGCGGGAAAGGAAACAGCCCCTTTTTTTAAAATAAGTAAACTGTTAACATTATTTTACACTCACAGGGCGTGACACTCATTCATGGTTGGAAACAAAACGTGTTCTTTTTCCATAAGCCTTGTCATTAAAAAATCTCCATTCCTGGGTCTAGGATCTCTTAACAGAGCAGCTAACAGTGCTGCTCCACTTGGGGGCCGGCCTCCTCGAGTCCACCAAGGAACCACACGGAACACCCGTGTGGAAACCCACATCCACTACTACCACCCTCACTTCAAAACCCAAACGACCGTGCACAGGGCCGTCTTCGCTGGCAGGCCAGCTCTGAGGCCATGCCCCAGCCTTGCCCAGCAAACAGGCCCAGCATGGGGTGCAGAGGCTGCGCTGGGAGGTAGCTCAGCCACCCCCAGGGGCCAAAGGAGCCTTCAACCCAGGCCCGTAAGGTTCCCGGTGCTGGGCTACGGCCCCCGGTGTCCGGGAGTCACCAGACGTGGGCTGGTGGGGTCCGGGAGCCTCCAAACGGCCGGCAGGTCCATCCGGGACCCTGACGCCTCCCATCCCCGCCCGCGGCCCGCCACCGCCCTTCCTGCTGGCTCACCGGTCTCTCAGCAGCCGCAGGACTTGCGGACGCTGCCCACCGCAGCGCCACATGGCGTCTCACCAAAACCTAGCCGGCGAGATTCCACTTATTCCCACGCACGGCGCGGGCCGAGACGAACGGGCCGCGGCTCCCATAGGTTAGTGGGCCGGAGGACGCCCTCTCCGATAGGCTGCAAAGGAAAAGGGCGGGTCCTCGATGGCCCAGGGAGGCTGCAGGCGCGCGGGTGGGCGGGGTGATGGTGGGACGGGTCGCCGCGAGGGGCGGAACACAGGAACTGCGGGGCAGGGCTGAGTGCAGAGCCCGGGACTTACGCTGGGTGGGCCGTGCGCAGGATAGGTGAGATGAGGGGCGGGGCTGCGCAGCGAGGGGCGGGGCTGAGCAGTTGTGGGACCGGGCTTCGCAAACGAGGATGGGGATTGCTTAGCTGGGGAGAGGGGCTGCGCGAGTGTGGGGCGGAGACTACGAGCTGGTGGACTGCGCAGTGGTGGGTGGGGACAGCTCAGATGAGAAGCGGGACTGCGCAGTAGTGGGGATGGGGCTGCGTAGGTGAAGTGCGGGAGCTAAGCAGGTGAGGGGCGGGGCTTGCGCTGTACGAGAAGGGGCTACAGGCTGGGGGCGTACCCACGCTGGGCCAGGTGAGCGGCTGTCCTGCGGCCCGGCGCGCTCTGGGGCCCGGTGTGGACCGTGCGTGTCTACGTGCTCACAGGGCCTCTGGGGGTTCGGGCAACGAAGGGAGAGTAAAGGACGCTGCGGTCCCATGGCTGGCTTACGTCGTGGACAGGGCCCTAGGACGGACAAGATAGTTTCCAGACAGGGGCCCCTGATGCCACCCTCTTTACGATCGGTCCCACCAGAATGCTGCCTCCAGAACCGCAGGGGCGCATTGGCTCAATGCTTTCCACACCCGCGCTCTGTCTGGGAAGTCAGCCTGCCTGATTCCTGCATCCGCAGTACCCGGAGCCCGGCGGACGCATTCATCCAACCGGCTTCAGCAGGTGGGAGGGCATTCGGGCTTAACCACACCTGGGCGCTGCGTGGGAGGAGTTGAAAAGAGGCAGGACCTCTGAGATGTCTCTTGGTGCTCATCTCCCCCCTTCCCTCCTCTCCCTCATTCCTTCCGCCTGGCCAACGAATGCAAATGGATCAAATCTCCCTGCCCCTTTTTCCAGGCTCTAAAGGATGCCAAATAATGACAGATGCCATAGTTCTGAACAAACGCTTGGACAGGAATGCAGAGGGCAATACTGCCATGAAGAGCCACCAAGAGTCTTGTCGGGGTCCGGGGGTTGCCTCTGAGGTTTTGGGGCAACGCAAAGAGCAAAGAAGGCAACAGGAGTCGTGGAAGGTGCTCAAAGAGGCCACTTTATTCTGCACAAAGCTACACTTCTTATACTGCTATACTGCTAATTCATGGTTAGATAAGTGTTTTAAGATGTGCATGCATGTGGCCTTTGTGGCCAGCATCTAGCCTTCAGGGCCCTTATCTAGCTCCTTTCCCATGGGTACAACAGTTTTCTCAAGGCCAGACATATCTGGGGTGAAGCAGTGGGCAGCTGTCCTCATAGAACAGTAGGGGAAGGGGGACTTTCCTACAAGTCTACAGCACAGGGCAGCAAATTCTGCAGTTAGCCAAGTACCTCTATTTAGAGGAGAAACCAGCTGAACCAGGACAAACAGGTGTGGTGCACAGTTGGGTATCATTAACCCTACTGAGGGTGTGCAGGAAGCCAAGGCCCCATGGGGATTTAGTATTTTGTGGGGATTTAGTATTTTAATAATATATTGATATTTGAAAAATATGTGCTATATAAAATCTATGTAGAGAAAATGAAAGTTCCTATGGCCAGGATTCTCACGTGACCTTGGTCAGCTAGTTCACTACACACGTGTGGACAATACCTTATTATTGACTTTATATAAAGAGCTCTGCCCAGTGCACTGGGCTGTACAGCCGCTGGAAAGTAGGGGCTGCAGTGATGGCAGTGCCTAGGACACACAGAAACCACCTTGCTGCATGCAGACTTAGCCTGAGGCGGACAGGATTCTAGTGCTTGACCTGCCACTGTGAGAATAAAGCCGGGTATAAACCCCTTCACCCCAAGAATGTTCCATGGCCATTTTTCAATCAAGAGTGAACTAGTTGGGGCTGAAACCCATTGTCAAGACAATCCTGTAATTGACACTTACTAGTATGTTCCCAGAGAATCCAACCCCACTGAAGGCTGACCTATCGAAGCCTGCTAAGAATATATAGATAGTTATTTTGAGCAGTACACAACATAATTCTAACACTCATGTGTAATCACAGTTTATATTAACAAAAACCATTTCAATGCAATATCCTACATTGGCAAAAACATGTTACAATGAAACTCATTGTGTTAGTAAGATTAACAAGTAAGCATACATCAGAATAGATTGTGATTGGTACTTAGAAAGTTAGTCAAGTGGCTAGTGGAGTGTTATGGGTTGAATTGTGTCTCCCCAGAAAGATATGTTGGAGTTCTAACTTCCAGTACTTCAGAATGTGACCTCATTTGGAAGTAGGTTACTTACAGTGGTAAACAAAATGAGGTCATTAGGTTGAGCCTCTGTGGAGAAAGTGAAGGTTCCTATGGCCAGGATTCTCACCTGGCCCAAATCAGCTTGCTCAGTACACATGTGCTGCCAATACATTGTTACTATCTAAAGAGCTCTGCCCAGTACTCTGGGCTGCTGCATGAATGCAGGGCTGCATGGCTGCAGGAGACCAGAGAGTGGTAGCAGCACTGAGGACAGAGACTGAGACTGCAGAGGTGGGCAGAGAGGCCCAGAGAGGCCATGCAGACTTACTCTGAGTAAACAGGATTCTAGTGATTGACCTGCACCATGGGAATAAATTTGAGTATAAACACTTTTACCATAAGAACTTTCCATTGTCATTTTTTTCAGTCTCATCGAATTCACAGCAAGCTTGCCAGCCCCGAACAAGTTCACTATGGATTTGATGTGACTAAAGAAATTGATAGCAAAACATTCTTAAGGGTGAAAGGGTTTATTACCCGGCTTGTTCTCCAGAGGAAGGTCGAGCACTAGCATCTCTGCCTCCGCCCTGAGCGCTGGGCCCAGCTCTCTATATAGCACAATAATAGCTTATTGCCTAAAGGTGTGGAAGCGGTAGCCTAGCAACAGGCCAGTTAAATCATAAGGGGGTCTAAGTTCAGTGAGGATCCTGGCCATAGGAACTCCAACCTCCCCACACTTCACCCCTCCAGGATTCTCACCTTACAGTCTACACACTTTCAGTCTTCCGCAAAGGTCTGTGTGCGAGAAAGCTGGAACACCGTAGCTGGATTCCACAATAGCAACAGAGGATAACAAGAACTTAGAGATAATAAAAATTAAGATACAGCAAGATTTTAATACAGGTAACAAAAATTATAATAATCCTCAAGCCAGAGGAGGTTCCTAATAAGAAAATTTACAATAATCCTCAAGCCAGAGTAAGTTCCCAATCCATAAAGACTTTAGGGGCAATAAGACACATGCTTTAATGCCACCAACATAGGCAAATCTTGTCCATCAGGTAGGATGCATGCAAGAGAGTGATCCTGTGATAGGACTGTAGCAGAAAGGGGGTCCCTTCCACATCTAGTATACCATAATTTTACTCCTTTCCCATGGGGGTTCCTGAAGGGTCTATATATAGTGCTACTGGAGGTGCATGCACTGGGCACAATGATTAAACAAAACTCCCCGGTAACATTCTCCTACCTTCTGGATGTTCAGCATATACTACTGTGACCTTTGGGGGCCACTCTTGTTATTATTCCAGGAATACACAGGAGGCCAGCATCCAGGCCTTGTCCCCAAAGTGCCAGGAGAGCCAGCCATCATTGGTCCATGTATTGAAAGGTCCAAGGCCACATCCACTTAATGGAGTCTCCGGGGTTCAGTGCAGTTAGTGCTGGCAGCATGATGTTATGCTGGTGGCCAATCCTTGGCTTCAGTGATTCTTCCTTGGATTGTACTTGAAATTCTATAGGGGAGGCAGCCATATGTGTTAACATTTCTATGGTGCTCAGGGCTCCCTTTCGGGGTCTCTCTGCTACTAATTGTTCAAAAGCAAGTTCTTCCTGGTTTTCACTACTATATGTCACTGGCTCAACAAGCTTTGGAGTTCTTCAAACAAGGGGCTACTAGAGAGGGCACTACACAACTGTATGTAAGAACCCCACATTGCTAATGTGGGTGTTTATGCTATACCACTCCTTGGGGATCTTTCAGCTGATGGGTCTTTATTTTTCTTTACAACCACTGGGCGTGCTTTCACTACGAGAGTTGCCAGTGCCTCCAGCATCACTCTTTCATCCCTCTCCAGCTCCTCCATTTCTGGGGCTGATGCCATTTTTCTCTCCCCTCCTCTGAGCGCCTCCTCTGCTTCAACCTTTACCTTTTCTTCTGTGCCTTGCAGCAATGCTACCTCAGTCTTCAGAAGTCTCTTGCATTCACCTCAATGGTTCACATCTGATGTTCTCCTGACACCTCTGCCTGTGCTTCCCTTTGGATTTCATCTTTTTCCTTGATGGCCTCTTCCTCCTTCAGAACACCTGTCAGCACTGCAGGCTCTTCTCCAGTGGCACCTTGCTGTCAGTGCTCTCATGCTTCCTCCTCTCGTATCAATGCAATCTCTTTCTTCAGGTAATCTGCAGAAGTTTGAAGCTCGCTTTCTCTTGCCAACTCCTCTCGCATAAAGGACATTTCCCTCCTCAGAGAATCCATGGAAGTTTGAAGCTCGCTCTCCAGTGCCACCATTTCTTGGCTCTCTTCTGTAGACCTTTTTAGTACTGTGGGATGCAGCCAAGCCACAGTACCCACTGCCTCACGGTGTCTTGCCAATGGGTTTTTCAGCCCCGGGAAAGTTCGCTATTGATTCAATGTGACCAAAGAAATAGACAGCGAGTGTTTTTTTGGGTGAAAGGCTTTATTACCCTGCTTGCTCTCCTGGTGGTAGGTCAAGCACTAGTGTCTCTGCCTCGACCCAAGGCACTGGGCCGGGCTGTCTATGTAGCACAATAATAGCTTATTGTCTAAAGGTGTGGATGCGGTAGCCTAGCAACAAGCCAGTTACATCATAAGGGGGTCTAAGTTCAGTGAGGATCCTGGCCATAGGAACCACAACCTCCTGACTCTCCACCCCTCCAGAATTCTCGCCTCACAATCTACACGCTTTCAATCTTCCACAATGGTCCCTGTACGAGAATGCTGGAGGACTGTAGCCAGATTCCACGATAGCAACAGAAGATAACAACAACTTAGAGATAATAAAAATGAAGATACAGCAAGATTTTGATACAGGTAATAAATTGTATAATAATCCTCAAGCCAGAGGAGGTTCCTAATAATAAAAGTTACAATTCTCCTAAACCCAGAGGATGTTCCAAATCCACAAAGACTAGCGGTGATAAGACACATGTTCTAATGCCACCAACATATGCAAATATTGTCCATCAGGTAGGATACATGCAAGAGAGTGGTCCTGTGAGAGGACTAGCAGGAAGGTGGTCCCTTCCAGGTCTTGTATACCATACTTTTACTTCTTTCCTCATGGTGGTTCAAGAAGGGTCTATAAACAGTGCTACTGGAGGTGCATGCACTGCCCATAATGATAAAACAAAACTGCCTGGTAAGAGGCTCCTACCTTGTGGCCATTCAGGATATACTACTGTGACCTTTGGGGAACTCTCTGCTGTTATTCCAGGAATAGACAGGAGGCCAGCTTCCAGGCCTTGTGCCCAAGGTGCCAGGAGAGCCAGCCATCGTTGGTCCATGTGTTCAAATGTCCAAGGCCATGCCACTCGATGGAGTCTCCGGGGTTCAGTGCAGTTGGTGCTGGCAGCAAGATGTTATTCTGGTGGCCAAACCTCGGCTTCAGTGATTCTTCCTTGGTTTGTACTTGCAGTTGCATAGGGGAGGCAGCCGTATGTGTTAACATGTCTATTCGGCTCAGGGCTCCCTTTTGGGATATCTCTGCAAGTTCTTCCTCCTTTTCACTAGTACATGTCACTGGCCCCAACATGCATTGGAGTTCTTCAATCAAGGGACTACTAGAGAGCACACTACATGGCTGTAGGTAAGCACCCCAATTGGCTAGTGTGGGTGTTTGTGCCACAGCAGCCCTTGGGGATCTTTCAGCTTCTGGGTCTTTATTTTACTTTAGAACCACAGGGCATCCTTTCACTACATAGGCGCAATTTTCTCTGGCATCACCCATTCATCCTTCTCCAGATCTTCGATTTCTGGGGCTGATGACAACTTTCCCTACTC